GGCCACCATCAGGTGATGGAGGAGCACAGCCAGGGTGCAGCAATACTTCCCAGTGCAGTCTCAGCTTCCAACAGTCGTGCAGCCTTCAGAAATTGGTGATGGCTCTCTGTGTTTAATAACTGAGTTTTTCCCCATGAATTCATCCTGTTTAAATGCTTTGCATCTGTCACATCCTGTGGCCAGGAGCTCCATGGTTTAACTACACGTTGAAGGAAGAACCACTTCCTTTTCCTTGTGCTAAACTCCCTGCAGGTAGGGTTAGCTGGAGCCCCTATTCCTGCATCAGAGGAGGCGGTGCACAGTCCCTCCCATGTTTGCATCACAGCCTCCCACTCATTCCTGCTCCTGGCCATGGAGCATTCCTCATACAGCGGCTGCAGTTCCTTCCCTGCTCCATGTTCCCTGTGGGACGGAGACAGTGGGGATAGCCAGACCTGCACACAGCCTCCTAAGCTGTTGGCAATCACTGTCACTTTGCTGTTCCTCCCCTTTCTCAGGCCATTTTTTTTTTTTTTAAATCCTAAATCAGGCATGTTTGGGCCATTGTTGCCTGCAGCGCTGTGGACTCTGGGCGTGCAGCAATTTCTCATAAGCAGTGGCTTTTCAACAGTAACCGATCAGCCAGGCTCTGGGAATTGCTCATTGCCAAATCAGTGATTGTTCTTCTTCTTGCCTGCTCCTTGAACAGTCCTGAGCATCTGAAAACGTAACTGCAGTATCATATGCCAGCACGGTGTGTGGCAGACCCACGGGAAGCCGAGAGCTCCTGTTACCAGTTTGTTTTCTCTTACAGGCTGCTCTCACACCAGCGAGCCTGCCCCATTGCTGCATTTACCCCGGCCTGACCTGGGACTTCTGTCCACAGAGCTTCTCTGTGGCTCGTGGACAAGGGCAGGTTGCCTATGGGATTTGGGTGTGAGGTAGCATGCAGCATCAGTCCTCCAGCAATGGGTGCAGTGGTACAGGAGGAAGGAGACCCTGCTGACAGCCCTTTGGAGAGGATCTCAGCTGCAGCCTGGAGCACGGACTGAGCACGAGAAGCCCTGCAAGGCTGGCAGCCAGGAAAACCTGTTGACTTGAAACCTGATAGTGAGCAGAAAGAAAATGTATCCCTCATTATGCATCGGGGCTCCTGGAGGAAAGAAGGGCACACTCTGAGTGGCGGCTCCCTGCTCAATGCTGCTGACCTTTTGTGTGCTTCAGATCTGCTCTCCCAGCACAGAAATACCTGGGAGCAGACCTCTGGTGTGCTCCCCCATGGGGCAACAGCAGGCTGCCTGCTGCAGTGTGCGATGGCAGAAGGACACATCCCCTGCCAAAGGGCCCCTTCCCAAAACCTGGGACATGCTGGTTTCCTACCAGCCATGGGGTGGTTGGCACAATCCAAAGGCTCCTCCAAGGCCAGCTGTCCTATGAGGAGCATCAGAGTCCGTGCCAGTCCACCCTGGAGCCTGGATGGGCTTTGTCTCCTCTCCAGCTCAGGCAGATGTCTGGGGATTCTGGAGAGCCCTGGAGAACCCCATGACCCTCCTTGGCCAAGAGTGGGATCCAAGGCTTGGCAAAGAGTTTTCCAGCTGGGGTGTAGGCTGGTGAGTCAAGGTGGGTGGAAGAGCTACAGCTGGCACCAGGTACCCGGGTTAGCAATGGCGACATCCCCCCTGACGCTGCCATCGTCACGTGGCCGCAGGGAGGCAGTGAGGTAATTGCTGCTGACGCATGGGGGGGCCTCGCTCACAGCCAAGAGACTCACAGCGGGCACTGCCGCTTAGGCAGGGAGCAGTGCGTCAGTGGAGCTGGAAGTGCCCTCAGTGGAGATGCCTGTTTCTTCCTGACTGGGCATTTATCTGCTCAAGATCCGAAGGGGAAGCCCAGGTATTGGGTTTTTCCCCCAAAAAGGCTCCGTGGGCTTCCCCAGCCCATTGCAGAAAGCCTGGGGGCTGCCCACCCCATCCCTCCTTCGTGGCAGGGCACGGAGCTGGTGGCCTACTGCAAAGTCTTCCCTTCAGCCCCCCGTACCGTGCTCTGGGGCACAGCACGTGGCTGAGATTCATGGGCAGGGCTGTGCCCCCAGTAGCACTCAACGCCCCAGTTCCAAGGGGAAGCTGCTGTGCTTGCCTGTGGCGCAGACACAAGCCCTGTCACATCAGAGACACTCCCAGCTGTGTCAGTGGAAAAACGGGTGGAGAGCTGGTACACGAACTGGCTTGGCAGCTTCAAAGGCTGCTCCTGCCTTCCACCCACCCTCTGTGCCTCTAATGAGCAAGAAGAGTCACCTCCTGCAATGCAGGGAGCAGCTACTGCGGTGGCTGCGGGGTAACCGCTCCTGCAGGAGCTTGCCTGAGGAGTGGATGCTGGTGGGACTCCAGAGGCAGCTGATCCCAAAGGAGAAGGTGAATCCTGTAGGGGCGTGCCTCAACTGATCTTCTCATGCCCTCACCTTGCGCAGGACAGCAACTGCACCCTGGGGTGGGGTGCTGACTGCAGGGTGCTGAGCGAAGGCACTGTGTGCTCTGGGACCCCACGACGGCAGCGTGGGGCTCCGATCCTGCAGTGGGTGGAGCAGGAAACTGTACAAAGTCAGGCAGGGAGAAGATGTCAGTTTGATCAGTGTTGCTGATGGATCGGCATAAATTAGCCAAATTTTCTTCTTCCTCTTCTCGTGCCTCCTCACAGCCAGGACTCGGTGGGACAGAGCTCTGGGCGAGCCGCCCTGTCCCCAAGCACCATGCACAGTTCTGCATGTGGCCAGGCCAGAGGAGGGAGCTATGGCCCTGCAAACACATCCTGCACGGCTGTGGGGCCACCAGAACCCAGGAGGGACTCAGTGTCAGCATTCTTGATGGGCAGGAATGGGATGCAAACCATGGCCCTTACAAAACAACCCAATTGCTACCTGGCTGACTGTGCTCCCCAGCAAACTGCTACCCTCCACCACAGAGGTACCAACAAGAAAAGGCCCAGAATCACTGGCCTTGGGAGGGCACAGTGGATCTCAGAGCAGGGAAAGCAATGCCGGGCATTAGGGGTGTGGTGGGGTGAAGGAAGGAGCACAGAGGCCAGTGGACATGAAGCTTCAGGCACAAAAATGTTGGTACAGGAGACAGGAGCTGCAGCCTTGGAGAGGCAGAGAGGAGCTGAAGCTTCCTCCATGAAGCAGGTCTGTCTGCCCTTCACCTTCCTTGGGAGGATTGCCTCATGGGGTTGCCTGCAGTGGGGGAGGAAAAACTCACAGGAATGGAGGCTGAAGCCCACAGCCTGGGAGGAAGCAGGAGGGGCAGTGGCAGCAGTCTGTGCGCAGGGAACTGTCATCCAGCCGTCATTGTGCTTCTTTTCCTGTGGGCACCAGGCACGTGCTGTGGGGAGACGAGAGCAGGGAGGTGATGGCACAGCTGGGGGCAGAGCAGCAATGGAGATTTCTGCCGCTGTCACCAAAGACACCGTCACGCAGAGCAGGGAAGGAGCATATCACGCAGCTAAGACAAACAGAGGCCTACAGCCCATAAACAACCCCCTTAGAAATAAAGAGCTGTCTCAGTTTATTCTGCTCGGATCAAGTTCTGTATCTGCTTATTTTTAGCCTCTCCTCTGCCTCATGGTGGAGGCAGTGCCCTGCTGGCATGAGGCTGGAGCCTACAGCTCCTTTCTGACCGCTGGAGCTAAGGCAATCGCTGCCTGCTCAGTGCAGCCTGGTGAGCCATGTGGGTGTCAGTACCAGCAGAAGGTGTGCCCAGCCCTCCTTGCTCCCGTGGTGGATTTAAGTACTGGTTGTGTTAACTGGAAGGGGAAGAAGCAGGAAACGAAATGACATCTATATGGAATGGCATCTATGTGGTTTTTCTGGTGGTGCTTTTTCTGATGACCAGCTAAATATGAAGACCTTTAGCTTCACGTCATTTTTCTTCTCTTCCTAGCACCTTGGCTCGAATCCCCTGCTTACACAGCATACACACACAGTGGTGTTGGAGGCAAAGTCCACTTCCTAACCCTGCGGTGTGGGAGGAAGCTCTGCGAGTAGGACACACCTGCCAGCACATTCTTGAGAAAGCTATTTTTTTCCAAGTGTTTTTGTTTCCAACTTGAATGGCTGGCTGATAGCAGCGTGTGGTTGTGAAGCCCTTTCAAGACGGGAAAGAAATCCAAAGAAGAGCAATAATAATGGAGAAAGACTGAATAAAGGAAACACAACCTTCCTGTGCAAACACGCTGCTCCAAGCAGAACCTCCTGCCTGCCGGTATTGGACATATCCAGAGCTGTCACGCTTTGCATGGCTGGAAGCTGTGTCTGTTTTCAGAGCAAGCCCTGGCTAACTCACACTGCGTCTGCTGCGTTCCCAGAGAGCCCCCTGATGGCTTTGGCATTCACTGATCAGCCTGAGCTTTAAGGTTTTGCATAGCTGCAAAAATCCCTGCGCTCTGAGCTGTCGGCAGCAAACAGCCTTGGGGCGAGATGTCAGCGGGCTGTCATTACCCTGCGTGGGGGCATCACCCTGTCCCAGAGCAGCCACTGAGCTCCCAGGTAGCAGAGGGTGTGACAGGGCCGGGCAGTGCTGGAGGTGGCTCTGGGAGAAGCTTCCTGGAAAAACAGGCGTGCAGCGAGGCTGCAGCGACCTGGTGCGCAGCAGCAGAAGGCAGCCCTGCCCTGCTGCTCCTGCCGTACTGCGCTCTCCCATGCGTCTCCCCCTCCAAGCTCACTGGGTATGGTGTTTCCAGGGTCTGAAGGCTGGCTGGACATGAGGACAGAGCACACGGGGGTCCTGCAGATCGGCTTAATGGGAGCGCCAAACCTGGGAACACAATTGTGCTGGGCTAGCCCTCACCTATTTGCTTTTCCCTTGTACCCAAAGCCCAGTGGTGTCAGCTAGCCCGCTCCCTCGCCTTCCTGGCTCCCCAGGGAGCCCTGGGGTGGTGACAGAGCTGTGACACCTGTCACAGAGCCACCCGCATGGAGCCACACAGCCCCAGTCCTGGGCTGGATGGGAGGAAAGCAAGAAGGAAACTGCTCACACCGGGGAAAACAACTCAGCAGCATGGTGGTCTTGCAAGGAAAACACCTGAGCCGTGTTACCAAGCCTCTGAAAAAATGGATTGGAATTGAAAACGTGCCAGGGGGAACGCCCACTGTGTGAGCCAGTCGGGGCGGAGCGGTCAGCCAGGAATGCTGCCCTGCTGTCCTGGCCCGTCAGGGCAAGGGACGTAGCCAGGAGGGGAGCACTGCCTGGCCAGGGCTCCGTCCGCATCTGGGAGAGCATGTGCCAGGCCCTGGCGTGATGAGGCAGCCAGTGCTGATGTGGGCAGAGAGGTGGTGAAGTGCCTCGAGGGGCAACGGCTCTGTCGGACGTGGTATCATTGCACCTGCCCAAGGATGGATCTGGAAAACTCGTGACAGCGCCACAATGCGGGCCCAAAGGTACCTGGCTGGGCACCTCCCTGCTTCACAGCTACCTGGGCAAGGCTAGAGTCGCTGCTGCAGGGGAGGAGGAGCACCTGTGTCCCCGAAGTCCCAGCCAGGTAAAGCCCTCGCTGCCTGTCTGCATGTGGTCAGTTGTGTGCTCCCGTGTCCGTGTCCCCCCCCGGTGCACCCCTCGGTGGGGCGGTGAGTGAGCCCTTTCTGCCGTGCGGCTTTTGGGACTCCGTGTGCCAACCTGTAGAAGTCCCGGTGCGTCTGTCAGCTCCCCGCGGCTGGGCTGGGGATGAGCACAAGGCTGCAGGAGCTGGCCGTGCATCAGGCTCTGCCTTCTCCTAGCTTGTTTGCAGGGCTGCAAGCACGGTGCGAGCAAAAAATAAATACGTACACGTACAAGATGAACACCAAACGCCTGTGGTGGCCAGCTGCGCAGTCTGCGGCACCACTTCCTTCGCTTCTATTTGCTCCAAGCCCTCCCTGCGGCTGAGCAACGGGGCACGGGCAGGGAGCCGAGGGGATGCCCCAGGCCGGGAGGGGAGCTGGGGGGGGCTCTGGGGCGGGGGCCGGGCGCCGCCAGCGAGCTGGGAGCCGGGCACACGGGGCTGCAGGAGCGGAGGCGGCGGAGGAGAGCCTGCGCCTGCCGCGGGCACAGCTGCTGCCTGGGGGCTCTGCCCCCGGCCCCCCGAAGCCCCCAGCTCCTGGGGAAGCCGGGACCCTGCCGGGCACCCTCGGCCCTGCCGGGGGCCAGCCCTGGCCGCCCGCGGCCCCCCCGCCGTGACGCAGCGGGTTTATCATTAACGCCCCCCCCGGCAGCGGCAGCGCGGAGCCCGGCGCCAGCCCCTGCCTCGGCCGCAGGTAAGAGCTGGGGGGAGCCGGGGGCAGCGGGGGGCAGCCGGGGGCTCCCACCGACCCTGCTCTGCCCCCCGGGGGCGGGGGGAGATTTAGGGTGCCGGGCCCGGGGTGCTGCCGGCCCCGGGCGCTGCGGTCAAGGATGCTGCGGGCCGGGGGGGTGCCTGGGGGAGTCGGGGAGCGGGGGATCAGCCCGCTGGCAGTCTGCTCGCTGCTGAGTTTGGATTTTGTGCGTCCTCCGGGGTGTCAGATGGAGGGGGGGGGGAGAGGTTTCCTCAGCCTGGGAATGATCCCCGGGGATGCTGGCACAGGGACCAGTGACGCCCCAAAGCCCCAGGGAAACTAGCACAGGGCAGCAGTGGGTGTCAGGGAGCGGGGCTGGACCCTCAGCTCTGCCCTCGCCTCAGTCCCCACACCTGCGTGCCCAGCACCACACAGAGCTCGCAGCCAGCTCTGCCAGCCCCAGCCATTTGCTTGTTTAACGATGTTTGGTGGCATCCCTCTGACTGGGCACCTCCATGGCACCCAGAAGGATGCAGGACCCTGCTCCCCATGCCCCCCCGCAGCCCCCATGCAGATGTACCCGATACACAGGAGGCAGAGATGCCTGCTCACGGGGTGCAGTTCTGTAAGGCGGGCAGAGGTGCCATGCCTTCCCTCAGCGTATGTCCGCTGCCAAGCCCAGGGCTCCTCCACAGTAGCTCTGGGTTTGCTAGGCAGGGGCATCCATGCTACCCAGTGCTCACAGCCACAGCACCCGCTGTTTGCTAGAGCAGACCCTGAGCAGAGGCTCCAGTTTGCCTACAGCCCCCTGCTCCCCTGCAGGTGCCTGGGGCTTTCTGCACCCTTGGGGCCACAGTGTCGTGCAGCTGCATGCCGTGCTGGTGTGGGCTGGGCTGTTTCTCTCTCTCTCAAGGCCTTGTGCCTTGCACTGCCAGGTCACAGCACTATCTGTGCTGCCTTGAGAGCTGCACCTTCCTTCTTGGCCTTGGCACGAAGAGAGGACATTCCCCAGGAAGGGAAATGCCACGAATCAGCTTCCACTTTTCTTGTTCTCTGTGGGCAGAGGAAGCTGGAGCAGGCACCACGGTGCAAAGCACCAGGGGCTTCCAGTGCCTCTGGCAAAGGCACCCATGCCCTCGCCCACTTCTTCCCTCCTCTCCCCTCCCCCCCCAGTAAATCAGTAAATCAGCTCTGCCTAGCACAGAAACGCCTGTTGTTCAGGCACTGCAAAAACACTCTTTGTACTTTGAATAGGACTCTTGAATGCGAGGCAGCACGCCAGGCGCTGCCACAGCAGTATTAGCCAGCCCGGGTGGTGCCAGCGTGGACATGGAGGCATTAAAGCCCCAGACTGCTCTCGGGGCAGGGGGGCAGAACTGGTGCTAGGGGTGCGGTGCTGCCCCCTGCCTGCAGCCAGGGCTGCCCCTGTCTGCTCCCAGCTGCTGGAATTTGGGCACGGGTGCTCGGCAAGTCCCCGCCTGCCTCATGTGGGTGCCTGCCCTTGACAGCCAGCCTGCTCCTCATCCTGCAGTGTTTTTATGGTTTTATGGTTTTGGAGTATGGCACTGCAGCTTGTGTGTCCTGTGCAACAAGCGTGCATCCCAGAGACGTGCCCGGGGATGTGCTCCCTGCCCTGGTACAGGGTGACCGAGCGTGGGCACCAAGCCAGACCCCGTAGAGCAGTCCCTGCTCAGCCCGTGACCTGGACACACCTGCCCTTGCAGAGCATCCCGCTGGCATGGCGAGCCCCCATGCTGAAGAGCTGCCCGCCGAGGGCACAGCCGACCCCGACGCACACATCTACGAGGAGGTGACGCTCTGCGAGAGGATGGAGCTCAGCCAGCGGCTGGCTGTGGAGGAGCTGATCACTACCGAGGCCAGCTATGTGCACAACCTCCAGCTGTGCCTGTCAGACATCCGGGCACACCTCCAGCAGAAGCAGGTGAGGGGGGCTGTCGGCACCTGTGCTGAGGCTGGGGACTGTAGGGTGAGCCCATTGAGAGCAGTGAGGCACCTGAATCCTGGCAAGGCCAGTGCTGAGCATGGCTCCGAGGTCACTGCCTGCTCACCCTGTCCTCCCAGCCTCCCAAAATGCCTCCATCAGCCAAGGTCCTGGGTTGTACGGTCATCAGGTCTGACCCAGTACAGCCGTCCTAAGGCACTAAGTGGTACCTCTGTAATGTTAGAAAGGCCTCATTGTCCTGCTTGGGAACAAAGCCAGCTCTCAGTATCTCCAATGCCTCCTGGAATGGAGCATTTCCAGCTCCTCAAATGTCATGAGAGGCAGCTGGAAGGATGCTGGTGCTTGGGAGGGTGGGCAGTGATTCCAGGATGCAAGGTCCACATCCACCTCATTTATTTGGCTTGTTCTGGGGCAACTTTGTTCCCTTCAGCTGCCTGGTCTTGACCTGGAAGGACTCTTCTCCAACATTGACGACATCCTTCACCTCTCCAGACGGTTCCTCAGGGGACTCGAGGCCACAGCTGCACAGGAGCACGATCAGCTGCTGGGCATCAGTAAGTAGGGCAGTGCCAAGAGCAGATTCATGCCAGCAGCCCCTCTGCAGCCAGGGGTCTCTGCTGGATTTCTGACCTGCAGAAAGAGAGTGCTTGGGGGCAGCGTCAGGCTCAGCCCAGCAGGGGTGCAGAGCTGGCTCGGTGTGTGGGACGAGACCCCTTCCCATGGGAAAGGAGCAGCCTCTCCAGCCTGGCCCTCCTTCCCCAGGCACCCTGTTCCAGGAGTTCAAAGAGGAGATGGAGACTGTCTACAAGACCTACTGCGCCAGCTATGACAATGCCCTCCTGCTTGTGGAGAGCTACCGCAAGGACCCCAGGCTGCAGGAGGAGATCATGGATACCCTGAATGCAACGGTGTACGTACCTGCTGCCAAGGCCACCACCTCCCTCTCCGTGGTTTGCCTCCTGGCCTTGCCCTTCTAAACAAGCTGCCTTCTTGGTGCCCAGGAGCATGCACCCATGCTGAGTGCAGGACCATCATGGCATTGCCTGCTGTAGTTGCTGGCAGCCTCTCCTGCATCCTCTGGGACCTGCCAAACTGGCACTACAGCCTGGGGGTCTCTTATGGCAGACCCCAAAGCGAGGGATGGGGTGGCACACACAGCCCCTGCCTGCTCCTCTCCCCCACATCGCTCCCATCCAAAGGGCTGTGCCCACAGAGGGCATGGACTCCCCGGCATCACCAGAGAGACAGGCTGGCCCTAGGGGACTGCTGCTGCCCCGTCAGCACGGTCATGAGCACTGCCAACAGCAGACATGGCAGCGGAGGAGCCGCTGGGGTTTCCTGCTGCATGGAGCACTGCTGACATGACTCCTCAGGCTGGTTGTGCAGGAAGGAGGGGCACTGCCTGCACACCCTGTGCCTGGCAGCTGGACAAGGCCAGCACTCTTCGGGGAGGCCAGGAACCCTCCTGGGGCTGGCACTGCCTTCGGGATGGGGGGACAGCAGCCCCTTGCCAGCACTGCCCAGGGGGGCACAGGTGGCGGGGAGCTGGGGTTCATGGCCAGAAACCCCACTGGGGCTGCAGGCACAGCTCACCTGCAGGTTCAAGGCAGCAAATCTCTCCTGGTGCTGGAGAGGCTCCATTTTCTCCCCAAAATGCTTGCAGAGAAGCGTGGAGAAGCAGCAGGGCAGGAGGGCTGCTCTTTCCCATTGGCCTCACGAAATTCCCCTCTCCGCCAGGCCTCACACAAGCGCCTCGGACCTCAGCTTCTTCCTGGTGATGCCGGTGCAGAGGGTCACCAAATACCCACTGCTGCTGGGCAAGATCCTGGAGAACACCCCCGCTGGCACCAATGCCCACCAGGCCCTCGCCGCGACCGTCAGCACCATGGCCCAGGTCAATGCCAACATCAACGAGTACAAGCGGCAGCGGGAAGTGGGTGAGTGGGGGCACGGTTAGGGCAGGGCGCATGGCACTGGCAATGGACTTGGTGCCCGGGAAGCCTCAGTCCAACCTTAGTCGTGTCCTGGTGTTTTTGCGTTAATTCCTGCTCAAGTCCAAGCTCTCCCTTCCTCTTGCCCTCTGGTGGAGCTGCAGCAGGGGTGGTGTGCCGGCAGCTCTTGGCACTGTGCTCATTAAGGGGGCTGCAAGGCACTGCTGGTGCTGCTCGGACAAATGCCACCCTGGCCAAGCTGCAGGAGCAGGGTGGAAACCGGGGGGAGCACAGAACTGGTCTGCCTGCATTCCCTGAGCTGGGGAATTGGGAGGAACAGTCCTGTCCTTGGGACAGGAGAAATCAAGCTCCCCACAAACATGAACTTGCTTTTCTTTCTGGTTTTCATGGTAATTTCCCCGGGGCTGCCCTTCTTTGATGTGGGTTGTGCTTATCCTGTTGATCAGCCCCAGCCTCGCTGCTGTTTGCACCTCGCAGTTTCCCTGCTTTGCCAGGCTGCCAAGGATGCTCTTACAACTTTTCCAGCCATGTCTCATTTTCCCCTCATTCCAGCAGCTTCCAACCAGCTGCCCCAGCACGCACCGAGGCCCCTCAGGCTGCGAGGCAGGGCCAGGACAAGGGACACATCTGCCTGCAGCCTAACTGCCAGCACACGGTGCTGCATCAAACCCAGCATGAGCCAGGTCTGCTGTGCTGGGTTAGATCTGTGTCTGCCCGGGACTGTGGGCAGGGTTTTGGGTCCCTGCTGTCCTATGAACAATGAACAAAGCACCCTCAGGGTCCTGTGGGTGCTGTAGGGGAGGGCAGTTGTTTGAGCAGCCCCTTTGCCCGTTCCCCTGCAGAGCCAGTGCTGGGCCCCCGGGGACGCCTGGCCCCTCACCAACTTTTTTCCCTCCCCACATCATGTCTCCCCCGAGGCAGCGACCAAATACAACAAGGCCGAGCACCTGACGCTGCGGGACCGCCTGGCTCGCCTCAACACCCACTCCATCGCCAAGAAGACCACGCGTCTGAGCCGGCTCCTCATGCACGAGGCCGGCTTTGTGAGCAAGGTGCGAACCTGCCTGTCCGTGGCCAGCACCCGCTGCCCCTTCCCTTACATGCTTCTGGCACTTTCCTCCCGTCCCCAAGGTGGGGAGAGCCGAGCCTGGCCAATGCTGACACCCAGTGGCCCGTGCTGCCATACAAGCCTCTGTCCCACTGCCAAGTGACCTAAGGGTGGCTCCTGCTGCCCCATTGCAAGGGTCAGGAATGCAGGTACAGAGCTTCCTGCCTGCCTCTGTGGGAGCTGCAGAGGTTAAAGGGGAGCACCTTGACCTCCAGAAGCCCTGGAGATCCTTGGGCATCCCAGCAAAAGCATACAAACCCAGTGGCAGGGACCACTGCTTGCAGCTGTGGCATTTTCCCCAGCACCACCACAACCCCATGCAGTGCCCTGTTCCCATGTGCATCCCACACACCCCAGACCTTGGCCCTTTTCAAACTCCTGCAGCCCCTTAGGGTCTCCCCCTCCTCATCCCCCAGCTTCATTACCCCTGCCTGAACCCTTCCCTGGCCTGCCCGAGCTAGGGACAAGCTGCCCTTTGTCTTGCAGACGGAGGACAAGGAATATGACAACCTGGAGGAGAAGTTCCAGAGCGTGGCATCCAGTGTGGCTGCACTGAAGGAGAACGTGGCATCCTACATGGCACATTTAGAGGTAAAACCCTGACCGCTTCCAGGGGAATGGCCCCATCCAGGCCTCAGAATGCATTTCAGAGGGTTGCAGAACACTTCCAAGTAAGGAAACAGCAGTTGGAGGTGTTCAGGGACTTTCAGCTCCCAGCTAAAATGAATTGTTGTGCTGGGGGCTCGCACAATATCTGAGGATCGCTCCTGTCCAGGGGAGGTTAAAACAAAGACATTGTCGGCAGAGTTGGGTGTCTACTGGGAGCAATCAGTCCTTATGCTGATCATTACTGCAAGGTATCAAACAGCTGAAAGTGCTAAATGTTGTTCAGCCTGGAAACTCTTGCATTAAGAGGCAGAAGGCAGAAGTGTCCCCAAATCAGGCACGACAGCAGACTTCCTTTTGGAAGTGCCCTGGGTCAATAATTGCTATGATTTTCTCATTTAAATCCCTCAGGGCATCTGAAAGAAATGAAAGTATGAGTGATGGCAAAGCTTGCAGTCTCCAGACACTATTACCAGGAAAATCTCAGGAAATTGCAGAGGGTTCAGAGAGCAGAAATGCGAGGGGTGGAAAGATCTTGTCATGAAAATATTGAGAAAGGTTCCCCAGGTCGGATGGGGACAGAAGAAAATGGGACAGGAAGACTCCCTGGAGCCCAAAGAGTGGGTAAAAAGGACAGAAAACAACAGGATGGCAATCTGCACACCAGTGAGATGTGGCAGGGTCTGATTGTTCCCCAGGACATTGGGTGTGCCTGGAAACCTGCCTGGCACTGCCCCTTGGGGAGCTGCATCTCCATAAGTCACCTGCCTGGCTTCAAGCAGGGCATCAGAGGTCTGCAGACAGGCCTGGCAGCCTGAGAAAAAAGCTGGGGTAGGAGTCATGCTGGGCTTGGATGTTGGGGAAGGTGCCTGCTGCATTTGTGCCACGTCTCTTTCCCTCGGAAAGCTTCTTGCAGCCATCCCAGGGAGTCAATGAAGACATTCCCGTACCGCAGGGGTGGCCTGGCCTCTCTCCACACTGGCTGGCAGGGCTCTGTGCATGCCTGTGCCCCCAGCACAACACAGAGGCAAACCTTGCTTCAGACATTGCCAGGAGCACCTCTGCAGGGCTGGGGAGCAGCACACAGAGTAGTGGTCAGAGCTGCCACCTCCTACTCACAGGGTCAGTCCCTTTTGTATTTCCATCTCCAGTCCCTTCTGTGGCAGGGAGGGCCGCAAAGGAGAGGTCACCTTTCCCATCCCACCCCTCATGCTCTCCATAAATGCTTTGCACACAAACAAAAGGAAGCCCCCAAGCTGCTGGAGCACCAAACCCACATGTCAGGGTGGCGTGCCTTTGGGAACGTGGGTGTAAGTGAAGGTGGTGGGCTGGTGCTGGGCAGTGCCTGGAGGCCAGCCCCCATCGCTCCCTTCCTTTCAGGCGTTCCTGGTGCCGGCCCCACACAAGCGAGAGCTGCAGATGGAGGAGGGCCCTGCCCAGCAGTACCAGCGCCTCGCAGAGCACCTCCACCGCGCTGTTTTCCCCGAGTTTGTGAGTGCTCCTTCCCTGCAGGTCTTCAGGGTCACAAGCAAGCAGTGCCAGAGCTGGCTGCTCCCCAGGGGCAGGGGAGCCAGAAATTGAGGGTGGCCCCAGTGCAGGGAGTGTCCTCAGCAGCAGGCGCAGCCCCGGGGGGCCTGTGAAGCCCTGGTTTTGTGTGGTGACCAGGGTGTCTGCTCTACCAAGGGGCTGCTTTGGCGGGCATCCCACGTGGATGGGAAGGACACCTCGGGAGCTCCACACTCCACACAAGCCCTCCACCCAGTCCCCCAGGCCTTTCCTAATGCACAGGACAGTGCCCCGTGCAGACTGCTAGGCCTGCTGGGGTTCACATGGAGATTTGGGTCCTCTTGCCCCACAGAAGCAACGCCTGGACAGGCTGGTCTGGCAGCCCCTCTGCAGCCTCTCGGAGATGCTGGTGGGGCCACAGCAGCTGGTGAAGAAGCGCCTGGACAAGCTGCTGGACTACGAGGAGATCCAGGAGCGCAAGAGCGAGCTGGGCAGCGTGACGTACGATGAGGAGGCTGCCATGAACACCTACCTCGCCATCAATGCCCTGCTCGTGGCCGAGCTCCCGCGGTTCAACCAGCTGGTTGTGCAGCTCCTGGGGCAGGTGCTGGGCTCCCTCTGCGTCCTGCACCAGGACCTGGCTGCGGAGGTCCTGCACGAGGCAGAAAAGGAGCTGAAGCAGGTGGGAGAGGCTTTGGCGTGGGGGCAAATGCTGGTGTACGTGCTGAGCCTGTCCTCCCTTTGGGCCGTGAGGGCTCTGAGGGCTTGCTGCATCCCCAGCCTGCCCTGCAGGCATGCAGCTCCCTGTACAGCACTTGTAAGCGATCCCTCCTCCCCGTCAGCCAGGGAAAGCCAGATTTTCTATTGCTCGCTGCCAGGAGCTGTCCTGTTCTCTGTTGGAGGGTAGCACTAGTAATTCACTGGTGTGGTGCTGGGAGAATCAGTGCTCACTCAGCGCCGGAGAGCTCTCTGCTGGGAAGGGGGAGGAGGAGGAGAGCTCCTGGCCTGGAGAAGGAGCATTGCTTGGGCCCCAAACCCTTGGAGATGCCTCTCGGGAGGCCTCACCCCACAGGCACTGTGAGCCTGCTGTTGGCAAGCGATGGCTCAGCCCAGGGGTGAGCATGGCCCTGACCTGAGCCGTGACCAAGACGAGGACATGGTGCAGCTGGCATGTCCCCAGTGGTGGGGCTGGGTTCTCCTTGCTCGGCCTGGGGGCTTGTGCTGCAGAGCCCTGAGCTAGACCCTCCTTTGTCCCTCAGGATAAGGTGTTAGGCTGGGGGCTCAGGACAGGACCTGGGCACTGCTCCTTTGGGCGCAGCCCAAGGGCTCACAGCCAGAGGGCAGCAGCTCTTGTTGCTGAAAGGGGATGGATCTCAACTGCAAGGTGCATCTTCAGCACTCCGTTCTCTTGCTTTGTCACCTCTTTTCTTCTTGCTCCTTCTCTTCTGACCCTACCCACAGCTCTGTGCATCCCTACAGGCCCCTCTGACCTCAGGGTCTGTCTTCACAGCTGCCCCATGGCCACATGACTCTGCCCGCTTTCTGGAGGCTGGTGGAGGACACTCTGCAGCAAGCTGGTGCCCAGCTCTGTACGTTCACCCAGGCGTTTGAGACGGTCACACCGAGCCCTGTGACACAGGTAGGAGCTGGGAGGGGTGTCCTGGGTCAGCAGGACTGAGGCTGCGTGGTGCAGGACATCTCCCAGGGGGAGGCTGGCTCAGACAGCAGCACAGGAGGTCACCGCAGCCACAGCGTGCACATGGAGCATGCACACGGAGCACCTCAGCCTACTGCGTGTCTGACTAAGTGCTCCTATGTCTCTTGCTCCCCACCAGCCCCTGACTGCTGCCGAGGAGCGGAAGGTCCTTTCCCTCGTGAGCAAACACGGCCCAGACAAACTTTACCAAGTGACAAGCAACGTCAGTGGCAGCAAAGACTTGGACCTGACCTTGCAAAGGGGACAGATTGTGGCTCTGCTGCAACGCGTCGACACCAAGGGCAACACGAGCAGGTGGCTGGTGGATGCTGGAGGTACTGCAAGCACTGCGGGGAGGCTCTCCCTGCCTTGGCACCAGGGTCAGAAAACAAATCCGAACCATTTTCTCAGCTTGGATGAAGCTGGCTCAGACCAAACACAGCTCTGCTTTGGCAGCTACACCTGTAGCCTTTAGCTCTAAACCTTGGGTTTCCCCATTTGTTCCCTGTCATGGGTGGGAAAGCAGAACCCTGTGCATGCAAACATCCTGAAACCCCTTTTTTTGGGTTTCGTTGCTTGATGTTCCCTAGCAATGGGCCAGTTTAAGAAGGGCTCTTGTGCCGTGCAAGGCAATGGCCAGGTTATCCTCCCTTTCTCCTCCAGCTAGCCCTACATGTGTCAGGCAGCAGGGCTGCTTAACGGTGTGTATGTGCATTTCCTCCAGGTCCCCGAGGGTTTGTGCCTGCTGGCAAACTGCAGCCCTATAGCCCAGTGCAAGGCCAGCAGACCGGGATGCAGACGCCAACCCAAGAGAGTGTCCCAGACAGAAGGCGACATTCGTATGCATCACCCGAGGCTCCCAGGCCCCAGGTGGCCACATTCACCCCGGCTTTCCAGGTGAGAGTGGGGGACACCCCCTGGGCTGTTCCTCACGACCCTTCTAGCTCGGTGCTTGTCCCTGCGTGCGGGTGGGGATGTGGACCTGCTTTTCCAGCACATGGGATTATATACGTGTAGCTGTTTGCCTGGCTGGAGTGGCACAGCTGGGATTTGCCTTGCTGGGACCTGCTGTGGACAGAGCAAAGCAAGTTGTGCCTGGTGGGATCCCCACTGTCCCTCCACTGATGGCAGGATTGTGCTGCCCTCTTGGAAATAGCCTCTGTGTCCCCTATAGATCCTGCCCTGCCTGTCCCTTCCCCTCTTGCCTCCTGTTCCCAGCAAGGGCTCCCTCCCCTCCTTCACTTTCCGCAGATGGTCGCTGGCTTCTCCTTTGCCGCCAGGAGTCCGCAGGAGGTCAGCCTGCAGGCTGGGCAGCCCGTGGTGGTGCTGGAGCCACATGACAAGAAGGGCAGCAAGGAGTGGAGCCTGGTGGAGGTGAACGGCCAGAGGGGCTACGTGCCCTCCAGCTACCTGGTGACAGTCCCTGTCCAGGAGCCCATGGGCTGGAGCGTGCCTGTGTGAGCACCGCCAGCCCAGTACCCCAGGGCGCAGGCTTCGTGCTGCTCTCAGATGAGAGCCATCTGCTTGGCACCCGAGGAGCTCTTCACAGAGATGCTGGAGGGGGGTGGCTGCATGGCCCTGGGCTGGGGAAGCAGCAGGATATGGCCCAGGGAATGTGGGCACAAGCACGGAGGTGGAGAGATGTGTTTTGTGCTGATGGGCACAAGGGCTGGAAAGCAGGAGGGTGACATGTCCCATGTGTGTTTGCTTACTACTGGGAGACACAGAGGGAAGGCTCGGGACCACGTGCCAGCAGGTGGCTGCAGGTTTGCAGGGGTTTGTTGAAATTTGTGTCAGTGGGAAAAGTGTCCCTAGGGGTGGTGAGATGGAACTGTCCATAGGTAGTTCAGGTCCAAGCTGCAAAGGCTGCAGTGCCACAGAGGGGCGAGGGGAGGTAGCTGGTGCTGCTCATTTTCTCTCCCAGCCCCAAGGGGTGAGCTGGGCTCTGCAGTACCAGATATTCCTGGGCCAAACCTCAATGGCCATGGGACCTTACCTGCAGGCTCTATCCCTAGGAGGTGCCCTTGGACGTGGTGTGAGGCTGTGGAGCACCAACGTCCCTCACTTCTCCCAGAATATTTCCCAAACCCTTTGCACTCACTGCTGTCCCAAGCCTTGAGCTGCTCCTTCAGGGTGAGAAGAGGGCACAGGTCTCTTCCAGCCTAACCACAAGGAAAAATAAAGGGCACAAGAGTGCCTTTAAATAGCACGGTGAGGACACGCTCTCCTACAAGGAATGCTCTGGCCAGGCAGGCGGAACATGCTTGTGACCAGGGATGGGGGGATGGCGGGCAGGGACGGCTCCTGGCCAGGCGCCAGGGCTAAGGTTAGGCATTGGAGCAGGACCATGCCTGTGGCAGATGCTCCCAGCCCGGGGTCTCGCCATGCCCAGGGCTTTGCGGGGTGGCTGCTGCTGCCCGCATCCTGCCCGCTGCCCTGCAAGTTGTTTGGTGCTGGCGCAGCACCGGGGCTGATTCACATCCTGGATGTGGAGGCATTTGGATCAAATCCGACCTGCTGGCCCCTGGCCTGCTTGTTTGTGTGCTGGGGGGTGCACAGTGGTCTAGGCAAGGCCGGTGTGGGTTAAACGGGTCTTCTTGCTGGCACAGAGGGGTGCAGAGCCCTGGGAGGGTCTGCAGAGCCGATATGTTGGCCTAGGATTGCATGAGCTTCATGAGCATGAATTGTGTGTGGAGCAGAAGCTCCCTTTGTCCCCACAGTGGCCCCAGGCAGCATGCTGCAGACGTGCCCTGCCCCATCTTCCTGGTGTGCAGGATCCAGCCCTGTACTCGGGGAGGCACAGAGCTGCTTCCCTACCTCTCTGCCCACTGCTTCGGCCCCAGGGACAACAGCATCCCTCATTCCCTTGCTCTGGTGGGAGGAGAGAGGCAAGAGAGCTAGCTGTCCCTGAGGAGCAGGGTGCCAGCACAGCCATGTTCCTACAGGCAGGCAGTGGCTGCTCAGGCTCTGCTCTGCCCCTGCCTTATCTCCCTGCCCAGGTGTGCACAGCCCCAGGGGCACAGCAGGAGGCTCGGCAGGTAGGAGCCACAGTGTGCCTGCAGCTGGGCACACTGGGGGCAGGCAGGGATGGCCGTGAGCCCAGTCCAGCCAGCACCACAAAGAGGAGAGCAGCACCCGTGGAAGTCCCAAGCTGGGGTTCCCAAACCCTGACCCATCCCCACACCCCAGGGTGCAAGGAGGGGAGGAAACATGCAGCGGTGTGCAGGGAGAGGGGCTGAATGCAGGAGACGGGTGGCCCAGGGGAAGCAGGACCCCCAGGACCTGCTGGGAAAGCTGCCTGCAGGGCCAGAGGGGGGCTGAGCCCGGCAGAGTGCGGCCCAGGGGCTGGGAGGTGGGAAGGGAGGCACGAGCATCACTCCTGGCTCCTGCCTTGCACAGCCAGCACCTGAATTGTCTAATAAAGTGTGAAATTGCTTTCATGCTCTGCTACCTTTGCTGAGATGGACCATCATTAAGGCACCTCCCTTCCCAGCCAGCAGCCGGCTGCTGCCTATGTCCCTGCTGTCACGGCTCTGCCAGATGAGCCACGGGCTCGAGCTGTGCCTGGCTCAGCCCAGCAGCAGTTCTGTGCCTGCTGGTACCTCCAGCCAGTACTGAGCACCCTTGCCTTCTGCTCAGCCCCTGCCCAAAACATTGCACGCAGCATCCAGCTGGCCGTGAAACCATGCCACGGCGCTGGGACAGGGGTCGCGGACCCTGTCTTTCCCCCTGCCTGCCCTCTGGATGCCCTTGGGGATTCCAGGAGGTGGTGCTTCCTGTGCCAGGTGCCTGGAGCCCTGCTGGACCCTTGCTCTGGCACTGCAGGAGAGCAGGGCTGTCCCCCCACCGTGCAATGACTGATTGCTGCCGAACCACCGGCATGTGAGCAGGGACCATTTGCTGGCCTTAATAGCAATAATCAATCATCGCTCTCCTGCTCCAGGCCTGGCTGCTATGCGAGGCTCTCCGGGACTGGGGGGGCTGCTGGGAGCTGCAGTGATAGCAGGGGGAAGTCCTCTGGAGGGGACACAGAGGTCTTGTGGTGGCTTTTCTTCCACTGGGAGGGTAGTCCGTATCCCCTGTGGGAGAGGACATGCCAGCTGCTCCACGTCTGTGCGCCTGGATCTCTGCAACCAGCAATTTTGGAGGGAGGATGGGGCTGTGCAAGAGCTGCGGGGGGCTCCCAGCTTGGCCCCCCCAGGTACCTGTGCCCAAGGAGCTGCTGAGTGGGAGCCAGAGGGAGTCGTGCATGGGATTTGTGCATGTGCAACCTGCAGGAAATGCCAGGCAGCCAAGATACTTTGCCCCAGGGAAGGGAAAAAAAAAAAAAAATGTAATGTTTTCCAGCCACTGATGAAGTTAAACCCTTGATCTGGTTAAAAGTTTCCTCCCAAAGGAAAGCTGGGATGGGATGTGCTCGTGCTGGGATGGGACGTGGAGGAGGCAAAGCCCTATCTCAACCTGGGTGCTGTCCCCACCATTCCCCCTGAACCTTCACATAACCCTATACCGCACGCCGCTTCCCCTTGCTGCAGCTCAGCCAAATGCCATCAGCTGAGGGGAGGCTTCTTGCCACCACAAAGCCAGCCTGTCCCCGACGTGACATGAGCCAGCTGGAGCAGCCAGGCAGCACTGCCCACTGCGTGGCGAGCACAACAGCCCCGCACCACACCGCACCATGTACCCCCATCCCTGCTGTGCCCCCACAGCATCCCCAGGCACAGAGCCCCTGGGCGATGTCCCCTGCCCCCCACGCTGGGCTTCCCCTGCCCCTCAAGTGTGGGCGCTTCACCCTCCTGGCAGCCACCAGCAGGGCCCTGCAGGCCCTCCCATCCCCAAGGTGACTTTGCTGGCGGGTAAGCTCCTGGGACTTTCCAGAGAGCAGAGGCTGGCGCACGTGGTGAGGGGTGTAGGGTGAGCAGGGCACGGTCCTGCTGTGTCTGGCAACAACTGCCAAGCTGATAAAAGGGCAGACCCCACAGCCTGAGGTGCTCCTGCACCCTTGGGTGGCTGCTCACAGCTGTCACAGCAATACGTGGGGCTGCAGCAGCAACCTAAATGCCTCTCAGGGTGTCCTCAGGGTGCTGGTGGCCCCCAGGGTGCAAAGGCTGCTCAGCTGGCTGCTCCCACTGGTGCTGGGGGAATCCGCTGCGCAGCTTCCTGCTGGAACAAACACTGATGGTGGGAGATGAAGATGGAGAAGCTCATCCCAGCACGGAGGGGAACATCCCCAGACATGTCCCTGCCCCTCCTGACTGAGGACAGCCGTGTCACCCTGCCTTTTGCAGGCTCTGGGCTTTTCACGGGCAGCCAGGGTTGCCTGCTGTGTGTGCACAGCACACCTCCTCCAACCACCCCAATGCAGTGCCAGGAGACATTTCAAAGCCTTCTCCTAGCCACAGGCACCTCAAGGAAAACAAAAGAGCGGCGTAATTCCCACCTCGCTTCCGAATCACCACAAGCCATCCCAGCGGCTAGACAAACCCAGCACCACCTGCAGCCCCAGCTCCCCTTTAGTACCTAACACGGCCGGGACTTGTGAGCACTCCTTCATTAGCATTCCTCCTCCTGGGGCCTGCACAGCCTGTTCCCAAGGCCGGGATGTTAACTGAATTACTTCCCCCAGCACTTCCGCAGCTCTGGGGACTCCAACACCTCCATGTGCCACCGGGCAGCCTCCGCAGAGCCTGCTCTCACCTTCGGGCAGGAGCCAGCTGCGGCCAAGAAAAATACATCCAGGCAAAGGGAAATCCAGGCTGGAGAGAGGGTGCAGCAGCGAGTCACTGCAGGGATTCAGGAATCAGAGCAAATCAAGCCAAAGTGGAAACCAGAAGCCCAATGGGGCTGGGGGAGCAGGGGGTGCCCCTGCCCGAAGGGGGTGATCTGTGGGGTTTGTGCCCCGTGGGCTGCTCCTGACCATGGGTACAGGCTGCAAACACAAATCCCTTCTGTGTGCTCAGCTGGCATCCTGGCCAGCATTTACCTAAAACACACCCTGGGGAGGAAAGGATGGGTGGGGGATGGGGAGGGGGAGGAAGGCTGCCTGCTGTTTGTTTTTACTAATGAAGCCCCATAATCAAATCATTTCAATATTAATTGTAAAGCCAGCAGGCAGATTTCTGTCTCCAGATGGGACGTGACAGGAATAGTTCAAGGTTGGCCATGTTATGCCACTCCACTCAGTGAGTGCCCGGAGCAGCCCCAGGCAGGGATTCCCACCTGGCCTCTGGTCCCGGGGGTGCAGAGACCATACAAGCCCCCCGGGCATCATTCCCTGCAGTAAAAATAAAGCCTTAAGGAAAAAATAAAATTAAAATAAAATAAAATAAAGAGAGAAGCCCCAGGTTGGAGCAGAGGAGGCAGGAGCCGTTTCCCCTGCTTCTATCTCCCAGCTTGTTCAGGGTACATGGGATTTATTTGTGGCTTGCACCTAGCACATTGTATGCTTGGATTTGGGGAAAGGAGAAAAAAAAAAAAAGGAGGGGGGGGGGCTTTTTTTTTTTTTTTTTTTTTTTTTTTTTTTTTAACTAGCTGCAATGTTAGTCCTCCAGCTGCAGAGAGCTCCGCTCAGGAACTTGGAAGCAAATGACTGAGGAGAGGAAAAAGCTGCCCCATACCTAATAAAACATGTGTCTTGCCCAGCCTCTTGTTTGGGCTCCCTAGGGCTGCTGTGCTGCCCGTGTGGCTCACATGGAGCACAAACACCCTGTGCCCTTCCCAGGGTGATGGCACAGACATACCAGGGCTGAGCCGAGCACTTACCAGTGCCTGCTGCTTCTGATTGTGCCTCCCTGAGCTGCTGCCCTCTCCTTGCTCATGCAGCTGGCAGCATTTCTGAAATCCCCTGGGAGGGCTCTGGGCCCGGGGGGTTCCTGGTGCTGAGCAGCCACCAGCATCCCTCCAGCCAGGCCTCTGCGCTCTTATCTGCTTGCAGTTCTCATGCCTGAGTCATCAGGGGCAGGAGCATCAGATCAGAAATCAAGCCATTAACTCACTGAGCAGCACTGGCAAAGGACCTCAAATACAGGCAATGGAGCCCCTGCGTCTGGGGCTCCGGGATGGGGGCAGGATGTGTCCCTCTGGGCCCCCTGCAGCACCTTGTGTGCCACCACCTTAGCACAGTGCCCCTGGGCTGGGCACATTCCACTCCTGCTTCCCACACGGCCTGTGCATGCCCATCCCGGCTGGGCTGTGAGGGTATGTGCTTCTGTGCCTTCACTCCTCCTCCTCTTTTCCTCCTCTTTTTTTTTTTTCTTTTCTCTTTTTTTTTTTCCTTTTCTCTCTTTTTTTTTTTTTATTTTTTAAACATGCACAAGTGGGAATTAAATCGAGGCCACTAAACTCGTTCGCAGCAGCAGCCCTGCTGGGCTCACAGGCAACGTGTCCCCACCAGTCCCGTGCCACAGCTACCTGTCCCTGGCTGGGACAGCACCGCCTGCTGGCACCCTGTTGTGGATGGGGACCTTGGTGCGACCAAAGGGACAAACCCACCCAAAACCACGCCACCTTCGAGCCATTCCTCTTCCATGTTGGGATCTGAAAATGCAGCACTTAGCGGCTGCTCAGGTCCCCTGGCTGCTGGTGGCCCAAAGCCCCATGGCATCAGGCTTGGGGCTGGGGCTGTGCTGTCAGAGCAGGAGGTGCAGTGCTGGGGGCTGGCTTGCGGCCACCCCCGCAGCACGGCTCAGCCCTGGGGGATGAGGCCAGATGATGAGGAAGGAATAAGTCTGGGAATGCACCAGCAGCCCCTGACCCGATCTCATGTTCACAGCAGGGAGCAGGAGGGATGCTGCTCGCAGGTGAGCTTCCCTGAAGATGCGTCTTGTCTGCTGCCCAGGGACAAACCCAGAGCAGCGAGGGGATGGGATGGCTGCTGGGAATTTCAATGCCCGCCTGTGAATGCTGGTGTTGTTCTGTCCCAGACATGGCCATGCTCTGCCCAGGAGAAGCAGCATTCAAATGCAGCCGATCATAGGATTCTCGCCTGCAAATAAAGCTGGTCCAGAAAATCCAGGGAGAAATGGAGCTTGAAAGGAGCCCTGGAGTGGCAACCCTGTCCCTGCAGGGCCCTGCCAAGAGTGGCAGCCCTGCTGCAGGGAGCAGCGAGTAAGCCTCACGGGGGGGGAGGGGGGCGGCATGCTCAGCGCCACAGGGACATTGTGGGGACGTGGGGATGTGGGGAGGGGGGGATGTGGGGATGTGGGAGCCAGACTGGGCTCTCCAAAGAGCCTCCCACTCCTCTGCACCCCCCGGTGTGCTGTCATCATGGGGCTGGGCCTGGGGAGCTGGTGCTGTGCACATGGCCAGCAGGGGTGAGCCAGAGAGAGGAGACATCCAGGGACAACCTTGAGGTAAAGATCTCAGCTTGGTCATCAGCCTGGGATAGGAAACTCTGTCCTGTGACCGACCACGGCTCTGGGCAAATGGAGATGCCACCAATTGCCACAATT